CGAATCGATGTGGTGAATTCATATTTTCTGCGACTTGATGTCGCGTCTTCTGAGCTTCTTGAGGACGTCGGCTACGTACATGCGGCCCACGTCTGGAAGTTAGCCCAGTACCCGTATAGAGGAAACGGAACACACTGCGATAGCATTGATAACAATGACGACGATGCCCGCAGTGACGGTGATGCTAGTGGTGACCATCATCGTCATTGTCATGAAGGAGTCGATGACGATGTAGCATCGCAGTTTGAATTGAGTTTCATCAACCCCTCGGATAATCCGATGGTGATGAAGGGACAGTTGTACTACATTTTACGCGCAGAGAATGACAATTCACCCGCCTTTGAGCTTCCCGTGCGTGTCATCTCATTTGGACAGCTGCTTTTGTTTAACCGCAATGAATGATTTGAGATGATACTTCACGAGGAGAAGAATAAGAGGATCAGAGAGACTTGGTAGCCCTTGGGAGAACAACTTATCCACACTTTTGTAAACAAATACATAAGACACACTCATATATATATATATAGCTGCTAGGGAAAACTTAAATATCATCTGAGATGTGGTTTCACCTTTTTGTTGTCATTTACCAATTCTTTTTTTTTTTACAAAGTGTTGTTGTTGTTTATTTGTTTGCCCGTTTTTTGTCCCTTTTGTGTTTTATCTTCCAATTTGTGTGTGTGTGTGCTTCGATGCATGTCCGTCACGTTAAGTGACTGCGTGGTACTGATGTTTGTTGCTCTTTCGCCTGCATAACTCCATTCCAAATTTTTTTTTGCCTCTGGGACTCCGAACAAAAGATGAAAGAGGCGGCTGACTCTTCTGCATGGCAACTGCCGTCGACGTCGTTAAGGTCCCATCGCTGTGCGCCGATCCTTTGGCTCCCATTTTCGCTTTGCCTAGAGTGTGCCTTGGAAACACGAGTGCGTGATTTGCAGAAGGGTGTCAAGAGTTTTGGTCCCTGCAGCAGTAGTACTACTTGCCCGGTCAAGGATGGGGAGCATTCCTTGGATTCATCAAGCGGCTTTGAAAGGCGTGTTTTTCATGCGCTGTTGGAGAATCCTTTTGTGCCTATGCGCTCTCTCCGTGGGGTATTTCCGGCCGCTACGGAGTACTACAAGGAGGATGCCGTGCTTGAAATGCTGATCCATGTCGCCTCCAATGTCAGCGCAATTGTTGCTTCGCCGTGGGCAGAAATGGAGGCTCACAAAAGTGTTGCCGCCGTGATAGTGGTCCTCAACTGCCACGACTACGAGCCTTGTCAAGCCCTCACGGCACTGAAGTTGGTCTTTCAGCGGTACTTTAATGGGTGTACATGTCGCTGTATCGTGTTGGATCCGACGGTGGAGGCACAAGCAGCTATGTCACAACACGTCTTTCTTCCCGCCCACTCATACTCGCCGGCGGAGGATGTGGCGCGGTACCTGTTGACGGAAATTGCCCTCTCAATAGTGCAACAGGTAAACGCCCACATCGTCTCCCTTAGCGCCTCGGTGGAAAATGTGGCACCTGCGAAATGGCCCACCACTGAGAATGCTGGCACGATAAATGGAGGTGGTGAGGTTCCTACAGCCCGTGTTGTAAATTCCCGTTTGGCGAAAAAGAGGGGAGACCTTCTTTTACGTGTGGGTGCATTGGACGCCGCTCTACTCGCCTATCACGACTCACTACCCGAAGCGGATGCACTGTGGTGCTCAGCAACACTGGAATCCCTTGCGTCCCTACGTTACCTGCAACGAGCCCCATTGCTCGATTTCACAACGGCGGTAGAGGGCGTTTTCTCTTCTCTCGAAAGTGATGCAACGGTGTGGAATGAAAATATGAATACCACTTTGAATCAATTGGAAATTATCGTGGAAAACGTGCGAATGGATCAGCGTAAGGCAACTTCTTTGCTCAAACACAGTTTACCAGCCACGTCACTTAACCGTAGACTGCCCAGAGAGGTGGAGGAACCTCTATCAACCCATATTGAAAATTTTCGGCGGCAGGTTGCGATAATACGTCGCTTCTTTCAAGAGGATAACACGGAGGAGGTAGGTATTTGCGTTGAAGATGCCTGTAAGAACGCACGTGGAGCGTTTAAAGAGATCCTTCACGTGAGTTTTGTGGAGTTGCAAATTTACCTTCAGGAAGCATTGCAGCAGCTACGCTCTGTTCCAGGGTCGCTGTTCGGTTTGCCGGAGCGAGAGGCGACAATCCAACTTAAGCGTACAGAACTTTTTGCAGAAGAGGGAGATAAACGAAAATTCCTGGAATCTCTAACGGTTCTGAGGGCAGCGGCAAAGAGCGCCCCGGCGTCTATGCAGCAATACCTGCGGTGGCGGATCCCATACTTGAGTTCTCTGTCTGGTTGCTGGCGAAAGGCCATTTTTAACGTTGTTGAGGCTGCTGTCTCGGAGCAGCAGGCAAATGCCCATGGCGCCTCTGTTTTTTTGCTGTTGCGTGCGTGTAGAATGGCCGGCATCTCTCTTCCACGGATGGAGTTTCAAGATCCGACAGCAGAAGGATATTTTCTATCTCGGGAAAAAATAGGGAATTCCTATGCTGTGGATAACGAAAAGGGTGAGACAGGAGCTACGGGAAATCGGGCCCATCGGGCCCAGGACGTGCCGCCACTGATGCAACTTCTTGACGCCGTGGCAGGGGCTGGTTTGGATACTGGCATGCAAAACGTCGTGGCGTCTCTTCTTCTCTTTGAATATTACCCCATCCTCCGTCGTGAGATACAACAGAAGCTGATGGACATTCTGGAGCAAAGTAACACGTTGATAGAACCTCTCACGTTGTCGCCACCTCCGTTGTTGCAAAGCATGGACGTACTCCCGCTACCACCCCATTTGGCACCGAAAACCGTTCCTCTGAGTGGTGCCCATTTCACCTTTATTGATACCGGACGGCTGAAAATGACAGTTCTCACATTGAATGGAAAGATTTTGCCGCCGGGACAAGTGGTGTGGTCTGTTGGAACTGTGGGTGAAGTGCAGTTGGTTTTAAAGAATCCACTTCGACTAGATGTGCAATTAACATCCATCGCACTTCATTGTCGTTCCGTGGAGACGTTGGATGATCTCGGACGTGTTAGCGATGAAACCGTAGGGCATGTGTTTGGGCCTCTCGCCCCGTCAACTTATCTGGTGACAGGTGTGATTCTTCCGTCGCTGTCACAACGTCAATTGCGCCTTCAGGTACAACCGAATATGCGCGGTTATCTTGTGGTGGATGGTGTGGAGATTCGTCTCGGGCAGCTCTCTCTCTGCTCAACCTTTCTTATGCCGTCGCCAACCCCCACCATTATTCCCGTCCTGCAGCGACTTCCTGACGTTTCATGTACGCTGGGAGTCAATGAGGTGGAAATTTTTGGGGGTCAGACAATTCATTTTCGGCTCTACCTAACGAATGCCGGCATGGTGACGATAGAAAAACTTTATCTTACAGCACATGATGAGTCGTGTCAGTTGGAATCGTGCACTGGATGCAAGGAACGAGTGAGTACCGCATCCCTCTACGTCATCCTTGAGTACGATTCCCTACCGAAGAAGGGAGACTCGCATTGCCTGTACCCTGGCGATATCCTTCCGGTGCAAGTGACGATGGTTGCCCCAGCTGACAATGACCATGTAGTTTTCCAAAAGGTCGTGTTCCGCACCACTATAGAACTGCCATATGAGCCACCTGTTACCCCAGAAAATGTTCCCAGTGCAGTTCCTGTTTTTGCAGTTATTCCCCGCCGTGTTCAGGAAACAAATCTTCGAGTCTTTCATGTTCCCAGTGTTGCTGTGACCTCTCTTGAGCTCTCACGGGATCGGCGTTATGTTGAAATTACGGTGAAAAACAAGAGCAAGTTGCATACCATTGAAATTCTTTGTAGTCAGTTGTTCTTCGCCTCCATCCCTGACGCAATGATTGTGGCAGGTGCGGAGTATCTCATTCCTCCCATAGAAATTACAAAGATTCCATCGAATATGCGTCGGTTTCCACTTCCGTGGGTGGTGCGAGAACTTCCAGAGTGTCGCGGTGAACTGGCTCTGGACTTTTCAATCCTTGAAAATGTGTTGGTGAGCATGGAGCCATTGGAAGATGTTGTGGTTTGCATTATGGTTTCCGCGGATGATGGGAGTGGTGTAGTCTCTTCCAAAGGCGAGTGGCGAAGTGGAGCCGCCTCGACAAGTCATTTCCCCTTCAAGCTACCAGTGATGAAGCCTGCGACAATACTTGTGCATGCTAGCGCACCGTGGAAGCGGGCTGTGCCGCTTCGTGTTCGCCTCTCCATGGAAAACCACCTGGACGCCGAAATTCTCAGTGGTCCGGTGGATACAACTAGCATTGTCGGTGGCGGCACTAAAATTACTACTGGTGTGGGCAACAGTGGCGGAACCAATGGGGATGAGCAGAATGAAAATGATGGTGTCAGGTATTACGAGGAGAATATTGAATTTTTTCCTTTTAAGGTGGGGGAACATGTCTTGACCATCACGCTTTCAGACCTTGATGGGCGTGAGATGACGTACACGGTGAAACTGCAGGTTGAGCATCTGTAGACAGAGGCAGAAAGAATGGTTGGTGTCGGTATTCTTGCGCCGTGTACATGTAGAGAGCTTGAGAATTAAAGGAAAGAAGAAGAAAAAAAAAAGTTTTCTTTCTTTTATTTTGCCTGACATGCTGTTTTTTTGTTCGTTTTTTGTTGTTGTTGTTGTTGTTGTCTGTGCGACACGTTAAATAAATGTTTGCTGATTTGTTGTTGTTTTGGCCTCCCTTGCGCTCCACTATGCTTGTGATGGCGGTGGCTCTGTGTATTCTCCTTTACACCCTATTCTCCCTCGTCAACAAGGAGCACGAACCAAACTTAGTGAGTGGAGGGCGAAAGTAAGGAAGCCAAAGAAAAGAAGTGAGGGGAAACGAGAGTCTTTTGTGTTTCTGTCGCTGTGCGTTTGTTTTTTTGTTTGTTTGTTTTTGTTTTAGTGCGTCGGAGCTGAGTGGGAGGAAGAGGAAGAGGGGGGGAAATGCCGCAGCGAAGCACCGTCACGCGGGAAAGGCACAAGCGCCCGCGTCACGGTGGCGAAGAGATTCGGAAGGTGAGTGCCACACCGCACCGCAGCGACATGATTACAGATGAGAGCGTCTCCCGAAATGATGAAATAGACGAGTCACAGGAGTCAAACTGTCTTCCGTCAGCAATCTCCGCGGCGGCGGAGGCAGCAGACATACAGAATGAATTGAAACGACAATTCGACGCTTGCCAGCTAATTGAGCGGGATGTCGCCTCACTTCTGAAGCAGCGAGAGCTGTCAACCGTGGGGATGGGCAGTATTCTTTCACTGAGGAACATCTCTCCATATGACGTTATACGTCTTAACGTCGGGGACGAGACCTTTACTGTTCCTCTTCAGCTACTGCTCGGTAAAGATGGTCAAGAAAACTATTTCGACGTCCTCCTTGGATTCCGTAGTAGTGGCACCTCCAGGGATAATGACGATGAGGAGGAGGAGGCGGATAAGAACAGACAGAGCCAAGTTGTGCAGCCTCCATTGTTAGATGAGACGGGGGCGCTTTTCATCGATAGAGACCCTGCCACTTTTCGTCTCATTCTTAATTATCTTCGCGGTTACCGGATGCTAACCATGCTGAATGAGGACCAGTTGTCGATGCTCAAGACAGACGCACGGTACTTTCAAATCCGTGGCTTGATGGATGAACTGGGTGATCAAACTCCGGAGAGCGCGGTTAAGTTTCGGCCTGGACCAGGTGTGAATCCTGAACGCAATCGATTCCGTGTTATTTACGGTGTCGCTATGGTCGGCAACCGA